CATGTCAAGGTAATGGCAATTTCTCTCTTTTTATTTCTTTTATTGTCATTTAAAAATCAATTATACAAAAATCACTGGTTTCATTATAATATTTTGATACATGTATACAATTTACTGCAATAACATTCACTTTCTATCTATCAGCATCCCTTGGGCCCTTCCTTTTATTGCTGGCCCTTCTCTAAATAGTCCCTCTACAAACTGCATGATTTTTTTTTTGTTGTTGTTGCAAATGTAGATTCTGCACATGAGAGGAAGCATGCCCTATCCGTCTTTCTAAGGGTCTGGCTTACTTCACTTGATATATAATCCAGTTCCATCTATTTTTGTTTTACTGCAAATGACATTTCATTCTTCATCTATGGCTGAGTATTGCTCTGTGTTGTATGTATTCCACAGTTTCTTTTCTTTTCTTTTTTTTTTTTTTTGGTTTTTCGAGACAGGGTTTCTCTGTGGCTTTGCAGGCTGTCCTGGAACTAGCTCTTGTAGACCAGGCTGGTCTCGAACTCACAGAGATCCGCCTGCCTCTGCCTCCCGAGTGCTGGGATTAAAGGCGTGCGGCACCAATGCCCGGCTTCCACAGTTTCTTGATACATATAGGGCATATAGATTGATCTCAAACTTGGTTATTATATATAGTATATGGGTGATGTTTTCAAACAGTGATCAGAAAACAGGTGTCTTACAATGAAATAGTCAAAGGCAAGTGGGTAGAATGCTGTATAGTTTATCAATCAACTTGCTATTAATTACCCCTCCATGAAATATTTAGAGAAAGGTCTGTGATAGTCTTGGAGGAAATACACAAAACCAAGTCATCTTTTGAGTAAAGGACATATTTTAGCAATTATCTAAGAATAGTCATTATTAACTGACTGTGAAAAGTGACATTGAAGGACTGGAGATGTAGTTCAATGGTAGGGCATTCACCTACTATGTGTAAGAAGCCAGGTTTGATTTCCAGAATTTCATTATAGCAGCAGAAACAAACTCAGCAAACAAACAAAATCCATCAAAAACAGGTAACCTCCTTTATTAAAAAGTAATAAAGGGGCTTGGGAGGGGCTTGGTTCTGCCTCAACTTGGTATGCCAGACTTTGTTTACTACCCAAGGGAGGTCTTACCCTCTCTGAGGAGTGGATGGGGGTGGGGAGAGCGGCACAAGAAGGAGAGGGAGGAGGAACTGGGGTTGTAAAATGAAAAAAATGAAAATAATAGAATGTTATTATGAGTCATACTCATCTTATTTCCTGAGATGTTGGGAGACATTTAATAAAAACTAACAACTGAATATAAAGAATTGATACCTTGCTGTTTGTGAATGTAGTAATATTTTTCCATATTGTCACCCTTGTGGTGGAATGCATATTTTTATCCTTTGTTTTAATTTGAACTTGTCTTTTAACTATTGTAAGAGTTCCTGGGATACAAAAGACACATTCATGTATTCACATTAAATATTCTAACAAAAAGGAAAATGTCAAAGCAAAGTTGTTCATTTAGAGACGGATAATGGTTGGCTCATGCTTGGAGTCAGTAACCAATACAGAAAACCCTATTTCAGGTGAGTTGTAAGAGGTGGGCATACTCTGACAGACTAATTAGCTAGCTGATGTTGAACTTACTTATGTAATTAGTCCCTCAGGGAAAGAGCACTGTTGTATAAGATTTAGGGACACACATCTGCAAATTTCTTTGCAGAACTAGTTGTATTGGGTGGTCTTTGAATTGTGTGTCTTACAAAAATAGTTTAGTTTTTATTTTAAATGATATGCATGTGTGTGTGTGTGTGTGTGTGTGTGTGTGTGTGTGTGTGTATGCACACACACGTGTGCGAGCACGCATGTGAGCGCAGTGCCTATGGCCTCCAGAGGAGAGTCAGGTCCTCTGGAGCTGGAGTTATAGGCGATTGTGCATCACTGATGTGCTAGGGAATGAAGTGGGTTCTCTGTAACAGTAGCATATGTCCTTAACTGCTAACCATTTCTTCACCTTCTGAATCATGTACCTTCAACTTACATGCTTCATGGATGAGCAGCTTTGGACTGTTGTTAAATTCCTTAGTGGCTCTTAAGTTTCTGTTTTTGATAGTATCTAATTATTTAAAATGGAACTTAGGAGTGATTTAAAAAACTCCAGGCAGAATCAGAATAGAGGGGAGAAAAGTATCCCCCAGGTACCAAGTATCATCACTGAAAGCCTCAAAAATCCAGAAAAAAAAAAAAAAAAACCTGTCACCTCAATCATGGTTTCAGGTTCAGCTGAAAATAAGGACTCAGGGCTAAAGCAGTAAGAATCCTGCTGCCTAAGCATGAGGACATGAGTTCAGATCCCAGCACCTACTTGTAAAAGCCAGGTGTTTGTACACAGCCTGTAACCCCACAGCAGGAGACGGGGGAAAGGTGAAGACAGGAGAATTGCTGGGGTTTGTTAACCAGATAGTCTAACTAAAACAGCATTAGCTCCAGGGGCAGTGGGAAACCTTGTCTCCAGGCAGTGATAGAGCAGGGCATATGATGTTTTCCTCAGGCTTCTGTCCATACACTGATGTGCAGACTCCCTCTACCCCAGACACTCACATGTGCACGACCCCCACATACAATTAAGAACCACGCTGGGTGTGGTGGCAGACACTTGAAATGCCAGCCTTAGGGACATAGAAGCAGGAGGATCAGGTGTTTAAGACTAGCCTTAGCTATGTTGTATGTTTTTATTTGTGACCAGCCTGGGCTACATGAGCCTCTGTCATAAAAACCAAACAAAACACAAACAAAATTACAAAATCTCGGACCAAACAGTGAACAGGAAAAAAAAAAAACAAAAAAACAAAACAAAAAAACAAAAACAAAACAAAACAAAACAAAAAAAACAAAAAAAGAGCAAGAAAGTTTTGAAAAACAAGGGAGTTCGGCAAAAGACTTTACAAACGTCAGCCTATTTCAGGAAGGGCAAAGTAAATCTTAAACTGTTGCTAAAGTGCTTAAGACAGCAGAATAAACCTAACTCATTTTCTTTCTTGCAGTCCACAATCCTTTTATTATAGGCTGTGAAGCAAAAGCGGAAGTTTCAGAAGCTCTGCAGAAATGACACAAAACTGTGTTAAGTTTGACTTTTATGGCGCCTGATCTGCTTCTCCTAGATAAGATTTAAGGTACTTGTTGCCAGTCAGATGAATTTATGGACCAATCTCTCCGACCTTTATGTTAGAGGTTATGATGAAAATAGTCAATGCATGAGAAGAGTCTGAAGGTGGCTTACAGAGCGGGAATGTCCAATGCAACTTCCTGTGATGATTGTCCAATATGGTTGTCACTAGCTGTGGGTGCCTTTGACAGCTAAGCATTTGAAGTGTGTATTGTGCAACTGAGCAATAAAATTTTAAATCATCTTCCATTTTTATTAATTCAAATTTAAAATCGCTTTTTGCAACAAGTAGCTTCGGTATTGGATAGTATGTTTCTTGGTTCTTTTTTAAATTTAAAATCTTTATTTTATGTGTATGGGTGCTTTGCCTGCATGTATGTCTGTCCTCTACATAAGCACCTGGTGCCTGAGGACGCTAGAAGAGGGCATTGGACTCACAGGAATGAGAATTACAGTGAGTCACCATCTGGGTATGGGGAATCAAACTTGGGCCTTGTAGAAGAGCAGCCAGTGCTTTAATGTCTAAATCACTTCTCTAGCTCTATCATTTCTCTTAAATTGAAGGCTTCTGACATTATTTCCCTACATATTCTGTGCTCTCTGGACTTAAATATATATGTAGGTTTCTTTTCCTTTTCCTTTTTCTTTCTTTTTTTCCTCCTATATACTCCAATCTTTCTCCCTCAGCTTTCTAAGGAATTATAGACATGTGCTATCCTGCCTCACTTACACGTCACCTAGGACTTCTAGGTTGTCCATGGATATGTAACTGGTTGCTCAAACTGGTCCCCAGTGAGGAAGTCCTGTAGTACTATGTATAGTTACAATGAGATATAGAGCATAACCTGAGACCATGCAGGCTGAAAAGGAACTTCTCTTTCTGTAGGACAATTAACCTTCACTATACTTCTGGTTAACTTGTGGATGCCGATTGTTTAAAGATCCTGTGGAGCACAGGCATTTTCATAATATCATGGTTTTCTTTGCCCCCACAAACATTAACTGGTAACCAATTTTTGCTTGCCCAGTGTTTCCCAATAAAACCACAAAGTCACATCTTATATCATGCTAAATGACCAATTCAAACTAGCAGTAATCAATCAATTGCACTGATATTTAGATTAGAGCAAATATCTGAACACTCCAAGTTAGCTTGGATATTTTAAGCCATTTCCTGGCTTCTTGATAAGATGTAGGAAATGTCAAGCAAAAAACCAATCCATTTGCCCAATATACACAAAGAGATATAGATTCCCCACAGAGATTAAATGGGGAAGGCAGAATAAACAGCAACTTGTTCAGCTACTTTATGGATTTTTCATATGTATGTGAGAGCTTTTACATGAGCTGGAGTTAACATGGGTCCTCTCTTAGCTCTTTGCCAGTGTAGAAGAAGCAGACTTAGATTCCCTATGAACAATTACTTTTCAGAAGGGAAAGCATTACTGCAGAGTATCTCGGGCTCCCCAAGTTTAGAGCTCCACCTTATTTCAAAGAGCCAAGAGGGGTTTTCCTTTGCTACAAAATATGAAACATATGTTATTGAATAGAGCCATAAAATAATTTCAAGAAATCTAGTTGCACCAATAAACCAAATGTTCCCAAAGTAACAAATACAACACAGCACACTAGTTCCTACACAATCTCCTGGTATGGTTTACCTTTTCAAATACCACCCACCGTCTCTAACATATTTCATGTTATATGCAGTACAGTTCCTTATTCAAAAAAAAAAAAACTTCATGAGTTAAAAAGCATGTGATGGACATACAAACAGAGATAGTTATTCCAGGAGACTTACCTGCTGATAAAAAGTAATAGCCACACAGTATTTCAAATTATCAGATTTTACCCACCTGATGGCTCGAATGACAGTTTTAAGTGGTGGGGTGAGATCCTCCACAGACACGTCACACTGGCACCCTTTCTCATCATATACATCGTCAGTGCCAAGGGCTGTGTCGGCTGCAAGAGAAAACACCGCTTAACACCACCGGTTTCTGTTTTGGATGTCCCAGGTTATTTGTCTTATATAGGAAAATGGGGATACATACAGACTGAGCATATAAGCAGCTGTTGAGGTATAAGGTTAGTCAATTGTGTCCCCCAGTTTTTTAAAATAATCATTTATTTATCTTTATTCTATGTACATTGGTGTTTTGCATGCATATATGTCTGTGTGAGGGTGTCAGATCCCCTGGAACTGGACTTACAGATAATTGTGAGCTGCCATGCGGGTGCTGGGAATTGAACCCAGGTCCTCTGGAAGAGCAGCCAGTGCTCTTAACCGCTGAGCCATCTCTCAGAGGTTTGTGTCCCCCAGTCTTAGTCTTGTCCTTCTTCTATAACCTCAACCTTTTTTTTTTTTTTTTTTTTTTATTTGACTCTGACATTTTCCTAAGCTGTTTTCCACCTGGAGGATGGTGGTGATGAATTTGTGTTGATCCACCCATGCTTTCTGCCCTGTTCCTTGGAAACTAATAGCCATCATTTAAATTGCAGCTGTTTGTAGTTGAGAAAACTGCCTTTGGACTGTTAATTCACCAGTCTGCCTATACAGAGCTCAAATCCCATGACACTGGCCTGATTAGCCCTGTTGCTGAACAAGTTACTGAAGCAGCAGACTGGAGAGGGCTGAGGACTTACTGCTTGCTGGACTGGCAATGGTGGGGTTATGAGAGCACTTGCTTAAGATAATATAGTTAAAGATAAGAGAAGACCAATTTGCATATGAAAATCAGTTCCATACAAACCAATCAGATTAACTTTTCTGGTTAATTGCAACTTTTGGAAAAGGACCAGGGCTACAATAAATACCATGTTATTGACACTTCATAAAATTTATAAATAATAAATTCATATCTTCATATTTTCATTTCCAGCAACAAAATATTAGAAACCAAGTAAATTAATGTAACATACATGGAATGTTACAAAACTGCTAAAACTGATGTTGTACACTAATGACTGAAAATGTCATATTATTAAAGAAAAATTACATTAGGTCAGGAATAATTTTATTCTTTTTTTGCCTGCTCTATTTTCTACAGTTTCTACAATGAGTATGTTTTAACCTAGTAACACAAAAGTAAACAGAGAAATGAAAATGCACTCACAAGAGATGAAGGCTGCTATTTGGTCCAAGCCTTGTTGAATGTTGACATACATTACAGGTCTCAGGTTGCTATGCTGTCTTTGCTTGGCAGCCTACTCATTGCCATGAATAGGAGAGATTTGCCACAGACTGTCCTGGTTTGACCCAAATCTGATAGGCTATTGGGAGTTTATTCATTGGGACTGTGCTTGTGCTGGGAATGCAGTCACTATGGCATTTAATTCCATGAATACTGGCTGAGTGTTTGGTCTATGCACTCTGTGCTGGAGTGGAAGTAAGGTGGGATTTACACTGATGAGTTTTCTTATATTGTCTTCAGGGTCCCTTTGACCATCTTTCTCTCAAAGGGAGTAAGGCATTGATGTCTGCTATAAAGATAATGATAGCATGATAATGATATTTGGGCTGCCAGAATTTATCCTCCAAATTTATGTATTGAGACTTGGTTGTTAGTGTGATAGTAGGGGGAAGGACATTTGGTAGGTGATGGAGGGCCACCGTGCTCATGAACGGACTTGGAAAATGTATGAGAGGACTAGGGGGTATTTTGTCAACGTGTGAGTAGAGAGTTAAGTCATTAGGGGAGTACTGAGTTATGCTTCTAAGTGAGTATGGAGTTGGTCTGTTTGGGAGAATCGAGCACAAAAGCACCATCTTGGAAACACAGTTACAGTCCTTCCAGACACAGGACCTGCTGATGCTTTGATTTTGGGTGTCTTAGCTTCCAGAATGGTGAGAAACAAATTTCTATTCTTAATATAACTAGGGTGTCAGGTCTTTTGTTACAGCAGCACAGACTGAGGCAAATGGCAATCATTCTTGGAAATGTATGTCAACTCCTTGGTGAAATCTCTTTATGTGTTAGTTTTTTTATAACGAGAGTCACTCTACATGTTGGTGGCATTTTGTGGAAATTGAAGCTTGGATGAGAGAAGTACCTTGTCTGAGGTCATGAAGTGGTAAGCAAAGCTATGAAATTGGAGAACCTGTTATTACAATCTAGTTTCCTAAGGCTCCAAATCCAAGCACTCTTTATCTATCATCTGGTGTCAGAGAACAGGGTAAAATACAATACAATAAAATAGCAGTGTCAGGAGACGTGACACAGGAGCAGACATGTGCAGTCTGCCCTGTTGGGAGCCTTCAACTTTCCTCCAAAGACATTTGTCACAGTTTAAACAAGAGGATATCAATAAGCTCACACTGATGACCTGGAAGGTAGCTTGCCTGTTTTGCCTAATGATTCACGCATACAACACAGTCATTTGAGCCTATTGAACTTCATACCTAAGGTTAGAGACATTACTCCTTCGAGTTGATCCCAGTCTACCAGTTATAAGGGTTTTGCAGGCATAATTAAAACCTGGCTTGAAATGAAATCATATTGAGTTAGGGTGGATAAGAAGTGCAGTAAAATTGTCTTTGTGGGACACAGAAAGAAGAAGAAAAAGGCATGCAGAAAAGCTGAAAGCAGATAATGTGATATACTTCATTATGTAAGCTCAGTGAGTGGCAGGAGTGGGTTCTTCCCCAGAGCCTCCTGAATGAGATCACCTAGGAATACTTGAATTTTGGACCCTGGAATTCCTGAACTAAGAGAAATGTATTTCCCTTGCTTTAATACACCCAATATGGGGTGATTAGTTACGACAGCCTAGGAGACATTTTTCTCCATGGTTTCCAGTTCTTTACTCTGGGACAATAATGGTGATGATCATAATAGCAGTAGGATTTTTAGAGAAATCTAATTATGTGCCAAGAACTTTAATTAACTGCCACAAACCCCTGTGAGGTGTGTCTATTATTACCCCCGGCTTTTCACAGTGTGGGTGTAAGGCACAGAAGGCTATGAAATTTGTCCAAGGACACATAAAGACTAACTAGCAGAACCAGAGCTTAAACCTGTTCATCTGGGACCCCACACTTCCTCTGATTGCTTTTCATTTGTCCCTTTTGCCTCTCTGCTTAACCTCTGGCTTCCCTTCTCCTCTATGACTTTTTCTTTCGTATGATTACATGCATCTACTACATTGAGTGAAGATCCAGTTTAGAGCAGAGTAGTAAGCAGTGTTGAGCCAGCTCACATCTTCAAGGAACGCTGGGTATGTACATAAGTTGGAACTTCTAGGAAGTGTGTATGAGGGGAAGAAAAAGAAGTATAAGGTACAACTTTTTTTGTTTGCCACAATGATTTTCTGATTTTTCTCTCCTTTCCTCCCCCATCCCTCCCTTCATTCCTTGGTGTTGTTTGTTTTGTTTTTAGTGGGCCAGGGCATTGATCATGCCAGGTGAGCATTCCTCCTCTGAATTGTACCCATAGTCCTGTTTCTTATTAATTATCAATATTCTGGGGTTGTTCCTTGCATTTTGAAAAATCTAAAATAAAATCCTGAGAAAACTCTGCTCATTAAAACTGTTACTTTTTATAGTGTTTGGTAAGTATCTCTTTGCCTTTAGGTAATGAAGGAAGAAGACAGCAAAGAAAGAATTCTGGAAACTTATGTTATATCCAAAATGCTTTGTTTTTCTCATGAAAATCTAATACCAAGATGCAGGCATTTATGAAAGGATGGGAAGTTTCTAGTTCTTTCTCTTAGTAAAACACCTTCTTTTAAGATTCAGTCCCTCTTGGCAGCTTTGAAGTGATACAGTTGGTTTCAGTCTTGACTGCATATTAGAGTCACCTGGGGAGTATGAAAAAAAAAACAAAAACAAACAAGCAAACAAACAAAAACAACTCCCAGGCTACCCTAAGATGAATACTGAAGCTGAGGGTGGAATCCAGGCAGCAGAAACAGGGTACACAGGTTGGCCATAGAGTTGCCTCGCTTGCTGGAGGCTCTGGTTCTAGAACCATACCACCCCCACCAGAAATAGGCATCAGATTTAAAATCATTATTTTGTTTCAGTTATCAGAGAAATCCAAGTGCAGCCAGTGGCAAGAAGCACTGACCATGGGTGGACTAATGACACCGAATGGGCTCCACTAAGTCAGTTTGTGAATTAGAGTTAGGCCTTGGACCCACTGCCAGTGGCCTTATATATTGTCCTAGTCACATCATTGTTACCTATATTAAGGGAGTCTAGTTTGGTCTTATGCAGATTACCCATTTGTCAGACCTGAGTTAGTGATCTCTCACTAGCTCGGACCAGCTGATTCTGTGGATAAATATATTTTTTAGTTGAAGCCCTAAGAATCAAACTCAGGACCTTGTGCTTGTCAGTAACACTCTATCACTGAACTAAATCCCTAGCCCAAGTTATCTCTGTTAAGTAATTTATTCTCCCATTTATATGGATGACATAATTAACTGTCCTAAGCATAATGGACATATCAACATTGTTTGTATTTTTCAGACTTTCCAAGTCAAACATTTTTGGTATTATTATGACTTACTTTCTGTGGACAATTGCTTTTATTTAATCTTTATGATTAAAGTTGTGACTGACTCCATTATAACTTCCCAGCTTCCCCAAACACACCAACACGATTCTTCTTCCATCGAAAGAAAACGAGTGTTTTCTGCTAGGTTTCTGACATTTGGTGGGAGGGTGTTTGAGACAGGGTGTAGTTTTGGAACCTTCCAGAACTGTAGACAAGGCTGGCCTGGGACTCACAGAGATCCACCTGCCTGCAGAGGGCAGGCCAACCTGGTGGTGGAAAAGTAGCTGAGAGTCTTACATCTTGCAGGTAACAGGAAGTGGTCTGTGGCTTGAACATATATGAGTCTTCAAAGCCTGCCTCTACAGTGACTCACTTCCTCCAACAAAGTTATACCTGCTTCAATTAAGCCACTTCTCCAAATAGTGCCTTTGGGACCCTCCAAATGACCTTTGGGGGTCATTTTCT